AAAGTTAGCCAGGTCCCGAGAGTAAAAAGACAGTATTAATATCTTCCCCTTATTCTTCCCTGAGCTCTATTGGAGGAGACCTGGAGTTGCTTCTGTGAGAGGAGCAAGAGACAGCCCCTCCCTGCCCAGGTGGGAGGAGCAAGAGACAGCCCCTCCCTGCCCAGGTAGGAGGAGCAGCAGACAGCACCTCCCCACCCAGGTGGGAGGAGCAACAGACAGACCTGGCACTGCCCAGGTGGGAGGAGCAGCAGACAGCCCATCCCTGCCCAGGCTGGCTGGAAGCAGCTAGGGGTGGAAGAGGACAGGAGAGGGGAAGAAGGTCTTGCCTTTATATGAAGATTAAAATTTAGGCTAGACATTCTAATTTCTGATTTTGCTCTGTTTTGCAACTTAAAGATACCATGGGACTTCCTGTCAAGTTCCCCTGAGCTTTCAGCAAGAAAAACATTTGTCCTACTGAAACACTTTAAAGTCACAGCGAGAGGGCAGAATAAAATTATTTTTCTTATGACATTTCTCAAATACTTATTCAACATACCAATCGTATTTACATTAAGGGAAATAGTATTCAAGGTGCCATGTGAATAAAATAAGAACTTAAATGGGACATTTTGTAGCTATTATGAAAAAATATGGTTATAAATTACCAGCATAATGCCTTGCATCTAAAAGCTTTTTGAAAAACTTGAAAATCACCTTCACATCTATTTTTCATTATCTGTATAACATTTCACAGTAGCAGCAGAATATGATCTTAATGAAGCACCACATCAAGAGGCTCACATAGACAGAGCTAAATAAACTCTCAGAGTTTGTCATTCTAATGTAGACTAATAAAATGTATTAGATTTATAAAGCACCTTGGGTCTAGCTAGGCTGGTTCCCAACCTGTGTATTTTCCTCACTCAAAATGACTGGATCTGAATCCAGGTCCTCACCAGCCTCCTTGGTTCCTAGGTCTGGCCTGGAACTGCCCGAGTCTGACAACCCATAGCTCCATGTTTCGTCCTCTGACATTAAGCAGATCCTGGCTGAGGCCCCAGTTGTTATATCTGGGTTTTCACTGCATTTCCTAATTTCAGCCTCTATCTCTATTGGAGTAAGGTTGGCTCCTGCCCATCTCCAACTTGTTGCTTATTTGCCAGTATTCTAATTTCTTCCCAAAACATTTTATGGGTAATTTTTGAAGAATTGGAGGCCTTTGTTGGATCTCAGCCTAGAGACCTGAATCTTCATGGTTCTTAACAAATCCTGCTCAAGTCTTCACTGTTTGTCTTATCCAATGTTAGAACTCCCTTCTACTTCACCATCAGTTCTGATACCAATTCTTTTTTTTTTCTGAGAGGTTTTTTTATTTTTTCTATAGGGCACGTGCGCTTGCCAGAAAGACTGAGAGAGACAGAGAGACAGAAAGCGAGAAATCACCCCCCCAAGGGGGATGGCCACGCCGCAATCCCTTCTCCTCCATTCTCCTCTTGGGATCTTGGGCACGCACGCACACATGCCTAGCGTGAGTTTAAGCTGCCGGGTCCGGGACTCAAACTGCGGTCGACTACGTGGGAGTCCAGCAACATAGCCATTATGCTAACTGCTGGTCCCTGTTACCAATTTTTAAACTTGTGATAAAGTTACCATAATCAATGCTGAACCTCACTATAGCTCCTGGATATTTTGCTACCTGCCAACCTGAACATCCACTCCAGCATACACACACAGTCCCAGCTCCTCAGAGGGCATTGGGCCTCTTCCTGTGGAATTAGATAACACGCTCTACCAAATCCAAATAATACAAAGTTCACAATTCCTAATTTGCTTCTTAAAGTAACTCTATAAAGAACCTTGTACAAATAAGGAAATTGAGGCATATACTTGTTACACAACTTGCCCATATTAATTGCCCATAAATACTTGAGACAAGACTTGATGAATCCGTGCAGAACCTTCTAGTGTAACTGTTAATTTAATAAATACACATTTACCAGGGAAAACTAAATTGGTGCAGGAAATGACACTGAAATACTTAATCCACATATGGGTGAGGGCTAAATGCACTTTAGAGAAAGGGAAGGCAGGTGAGAACAAATTATTTTAAATCTGTTGGTATGCAGATGAGAAGAGCAATAAAAAAGAAACTACTTAAGTTGAATATGCTGACTGACAAATGGATAAGATTTGGCAAGAGACACCAGGTTTCTAGAGAAGGACCTTTGATTGCCAAAACTCTGAAGAGAGAAGGAGGTGAGAACTCAGTCCTTGTTGGGCAGAAGCTGAACCTGCTCCAGAGGCTGCAGAAGCTGTCTGATCTGCACGGTGAGCACTTTAACTCTGCCCGGGAAGGCTTTCCACTACCTCAGGAGAAAAGACTTGTACAGAGCTGAGTGTGGAGTCCAACCAAACGAGGGTCCACAGACTCCTGGCTGCATCACTCACTTTGAGAAGATCAGCTATTTTGCCTGTCTCATTTTCATCAGTTATAAAACAGAAACACTGTTAATAGTATCTGCCACACAAGATTATGATGAGAATTGAGAAATACTTATGTAAAGAACCCCCACAGTGTCTAGCTCAGAATAAATGCTTGGCAAATACTTGATAGTGGTGCCATTGCAATTTGTCGGGGGGAAGGGGAAAAATGATCATGACGCCAAGAAAAGAACTATGAACTCTGTATAGATACTCTAAAGTTTCTAAAATGCTATATGTCTAGATCTTGGCACACAGCAGGCAATTGACAAATATGTTTTAAATGAATGAAGGAGTAACACAAGAAATGAATCACTCCTAGTAACTCCATCTCAATATATTTGCTGGTGTGAAGAAGGGCCGCATGTATGCTGAGACCTCATGTGTTCTCACACTCTGCTGTTGTGCTGCTTACAGAAATACCTGGGACTGGGTATTCACAAAGAAGAGAGGTTTATTTGACTCATGACTCTGGAGGCTGACAAGTCCAGCTGGCAACAACATGGCCAACAAGCAGAGAAGCAGAAAAGCATGAGTGTAGTTAGCAAGCTGGGGACAGTCATCTACCTTCTATAACGAGTGCTCCTGAGAACTAATCCCATCTCACCAGAGCTAGAACTACTCCGTGTCTCAGAAGACAGCATTAATCCATTCATGAGACTGGTGCCTCTGTGACCCAATCGCTGTGATCCAATAAATATCTACTAGGCCTCACTACCTCTCGACACCATTAGGGGCCAAATTCCAAAACACATACCTTTGCTGCACAAACCTTTATCCAAACCACAGCATGTGTCCTCCAAAGTTCTGTCATTCTCTGAGTCTCGTGGGGCTAACACGTCTTTCAGGCTCTGAGGAAGGGTTCAGGGCTGCTGCCACACTATGATGTAATGGGACACTCTAAGGTTTTTCTTGAGCACGAAATATTCACAAAGTAATATATGTTGCATCTACACCACTTCAGAACGTTCCTGTGTCGGATGAGTATGTTCTCAGTCTTCCCTCTTATTCTGGAGGTACAGTGGGAAAGGAATACACCAACCACTCAAGAGCCTAAATCCCTCAGCTGCACGACTAGCATCTTCATTCATATTCCAACAGTGGTAAAAGGATGGTGAAGATGTTATGTGAATATCCATAAAAGAAAAATACTGACAAAAACCTTCCACTGCATTCTGAGAATTAACTATACTCACTTCATATCAAAAAAAAAAAAAAAAAAAAAAAGACAGCCTCATGAGGGGCCAGAGATGTTAAACCTGTGATCTTTTCATAAGCAGGGAACAAAAAGTTATTTATATAGATGACTTTTGAGGAGTATTTGAAACCATTGAATGATGCCAACTCACTGCGATGAATACAATAGCCATGGCCGGAGAGATAAAAGAGGGAAACCAGATGCTCTCGAGGCCGAGGCCCCACCCTTTGTGTGAAAGCTGAATCCCCGAGAAACGAATGCTCATGAAGACAGCCGATGATCAAAATAGATGATGTCTATCATCATATGGTAGTTGGTTCTGGTCCAATTCGAACTTCGCACCAATCTGTAGCACTCGGCTCTTTGCACCGACTGGTACCAGGAAACAAACAGCCCTTCTGTATTGTTGGGGGTGGCACCACTGAGAGCAGACATCTATTTACATAAAGACAGATTTCAATGGCTAAAATGACCCTGTATTTGGCATGGTTTACTCATAAAAATTGAGTATTTAATAGGCCAGTAGGCTATAATTGGTACAATGAATCGTTTTCTTCATGCATGGTAAATTTTCAGTGTTTTTCCAGAGGCTAAATCAGCAATTTGGAAGGGCCTAAATTGTTCTACCTTAAAGTTAGTTCATTAGAAAAGACAAACTATTTTACATGTAGCCAGAATGCAGTAAGTCTGACCCTTGGTAGACAAAAACTATTCATTTATTATGTCCTTTAAAAACATGGAGTCTTTCAGTTGCCTTTTTTTCATGGTTGAAGAAATTGTTTTTAAAAAATAAGCATGAGGGCACAGGTGGTGTAGTGGTTAAGATGCTGGACTCCCACGTGGCTGATTGCAATTTGAGTCCCAGACCCAGCAGCTTGAAACTCACGCCAGTCGTGCATGGGTGTGTTCCCAAAATCCCAAGAAGAGAATGGAGGAGAAGCAACTGTAGCCTGGCCATCCCACCTGGGAAGTGACTTCTCACTTTCTGACTCTATCTCTCCAGCAAGCACACATCCTCTATAGCAAAAAAATCCTCTAAAAAATTTAAAATAAGCATGTGCTTTGGAGTCATATGTACCTGGATTCTAAACTTCCTTCTAATACTCCCTCGCTTACTAACCATGGTTACTTGTGAGTCTGTTTCTGATCTGCAAAATAAGAATAGGAACACCCATCTCAAAAATAGTTCTGTACTAAATAGGATGCTGAGAGAGAGCGCTTAGCAGAGAGTCTGGAAAAGCTAAGTATTAAATAATATTAGTTATCAGGGTTTCTTCTTTATCTTCAATGATCCAGGAAAATAAAATATTATGTTTTTTAAATGTAAAACATAATGTGAGTGCTCACTTCAGCAGTACATTCACTAACATGTGAACATCACAGAGAACATTCGCATGACTTCTGCACAAGGATCACACAGATTCATGAAGCCATTTGTATTTAAACAAACAAAAAAGCATTTGGCTTGAATTTATATTAAAGCAGATATAATTTTTAGAAAATAGCTCCGATAGACAAAAGAATATGATAATAATGGCAACAGGAATACCCCTAAAGCTAGTGAATGAATTAAATTTTTATAACCTAATTATTGATAATGATGTTTAAATAAGAACTGACAATTTAAAAGAATCTGGTATATTACCGTTTGCATATAATAATCCTTCTTAATTTATAACTCTAAGTTTCTGGCTCCTGTTTGAATAGTTTGCCTAAAATGAAATTTATCTCCTTTTAGTTCTTTGTAAGGCAATAATTACTTACTTAGTCATCAATGCCAGTAGGCTTTGAAGAGTTTTATATTTCATATCTGAAACAATTCTCAGGAAGATATTAAGATGTATTCAGAACTAAGGGGCCATTGTTACATTTCAGTCTTCCATGCACAGGCCTGTCTGTGGCATGTATGTACATTTGTGTGTGTATGTTATAACATGAGATATAAACACACATTCCAGCTATTTCATAGTAGTTGCTTAATGGCTTTTTGTGCTAGTTTCTTGATTTTAACAACTATTAAGCTATTACCAGGGCACTGGCACTTCTTTTCTTTTTTTTTTTTTCTTTTAGAGAGGTTTTTGCTATAGGGCACATGCGCTCGCCAGAGAGACAGAGAGACAGGTGAGAAATCACCCCCCAGGGGGGATGGCCATGCCGCAATCCCTTCTCCTCCATTCTCCTCTTGGGATCTTGGGCATGCACATACAAGTTTAAGCCACTGGGTCCGGGACTTGAACCACAGCTGACTACATGGAAGTCCAGCGACATAGCCATTACGCTAACTGCTGGTCCCCCCACACTGGCACTTCTTGAATTGGCTTGAGTGGGGCAGAGCCCATTTAGCAAGAGGAGGGCCTGATCCCCACCATTGAGAGCTGACTTAGTGTATAGTTGTGGGGACACTGAAAGGGAAGAGAGGACTTTGAAGATAAAATTCACTTGTTAAAGGAGTGTGTCTAAGAAAAAAATAATCAAATATTAAAAATTGGTATATGTGAAGTACTTAGACTGTCTTAGTTACAACATAAAATAATAGTACACTACAGATTAGTCGGATTCTGTAAGACCTTAAAAATTGTAAGTGGTCAGCCAGCAGATGCCAGTCATTAGAATCATCACTTCACATACTCTGCTGAGGTCAGCCGTGATTTCCACTGGTTCAGATTAAAGAACTACGTTCTATGGAGAATTTAGCTTTAAGCTCTCCTAAAAACTGCTCTAAGCAAACTTAAATGAAATGCCATCTGCTGAGAAGTATTCTGACGTGACACAATTTAAAATGTAAACAATGTGAAACTCAAGGGATTAAAAACATGATTTAATCATATTACCATTCTTTGGCTGACATTGAGACAGCAGATGTTAGAAGAGAAGAAACTTTAGAAAGTATTCCATTTGAGTATAATGGAGCTGAATTTCCCCCAAATGCCTTTGTTAGAACTCCTACTACATTTGTATGCCAATGGGGTCTTTGTGATTTTATTGCTGGAGTTACTAACTTGTCAGATTGCACTGTTTTTTCTGGATCTGAAATTGCAACTCCTGTTTCAGGAAAATGGGAGAGTTGCTGTTTTATGATTACAATCACCACTTTCCGGTGTTTCTGTGGTGTTCAAATGGCACACCATTTAGAGTCGTGGGCATTATTTCCTAAAAACTATTTTGAGAGGTTTACTTATATGGCAACATATTTTGAATGAATGAGACAAAGTGATAAAGTGATTTCTAACTCAAACTACATATCCACTGGCTTATATCAATTTATCGGTTGTTGGAAAAGTCATGACAAGTTTTACATAGAAAAACACATCAACAGTTGGGTGCCTAACTTATTTCAGTAAAGCCTAAATGGTAATTTCCTGATCTAAATAAGCAAAGGTCTCTAGGATCTACTTCACAGAGCATTTTTGATGAAAGAAGAAAGCGAGCTTTTCTTCCACCTAACAGTCAGTATGGCACCTTCTGGAACTCCTCCTTCACTTTATTCTTGTTAAGCACATTGCATTGTCACCTATGAAAGAAAGAACAGGTGCATACTCACAAAATACTGTTTCTTGTGAAGAAATCATGGCAGGGTGCATTTGAAATTGATTGCACCAAATATTCGTCATTGAACCACCATGGGACTTCTACTCTATCCAGCGCCACTTGAAATCTCTTCATTACCGTGTAATTTAATAGAGAATATTTACCATGGAGTATTCTTGCTTTGAGGAAATGGCCCCTACCCCTTGCTACACCAGCATATTGAATGGAAAAATGGGCTCATCTGCAATACTCTAAAACTGTTCGCTCCTTGAATGTTATCGACCAGCAGATCTCAGGATCATTGGGTCATGACAAAGATGACCTTGGGAGGCTTAAGCCATAGCCAAGGGCATTTGTAGTCTTGAATGGCCTCTGGGACGATCGTTGGTCCACTATAGAACTTCCACATGTGCCCTCACTTTTTGATCGGTACTTTATTTTCTCCCCTGTGTTTTTTTTTTTTTTTTCCTTTTATTCTCCTTCAACTTATCTCTTCCTGGAAGGTTTTGTGTAGATAATGGACAGAGATATACAGAAATCGAGCTGAGCAACCTGGACCAAGTAAGCTAACATGTTAAGCTAACCAGGTAAGCTAACATCTGTTTGCTTAGATGAAGGAGTGACATCTAACTTACAGTATGCTATGAGAATTAGAGAGAATAAATGTATAGCTTCTAAAGAGGGAGAAAGTGGCCGTCAGAAGTAACTGTTACATTATTTTGATTACCATGACTGTGACCATTATTACTAAGAGAGGTTTAGAATAAACCTAGCAACTGCCATTGAACTCCACTCTGGGTCACCTTACCAGGCCAGAGTAATCATCTCTTACTGCCATGTGTGTTGGCTACAACTGATTCACAGATAGATTCACACCACCTCTCTCAAGAGACGTTTGGCAACTTATATCTATAATATCACTAATCCTCAAAAGTTTCTTCTGGGAAGACTCCCTCAATAAAATTGTACAAAAATTCCCATCTTAGACTTTGTTTCTGAGACATTAACTAAGAAAATTATTACTGCTGTTATTACAAATACATCTCCCACTAGACACCAAACTCTTCGAGCACTCAGCTGAAGACAGTGCTAATCTATAATGGATTAAAATTTCCCCTTCTCAGGACTAGCAGGTGGCATTATGGTTACGTCATGGTCAACTGTGGTCCCAGACCCATAGACTTGAAACTCATGCCAGCCATGTATGCACATGTGCCCAAGATCCCAAGAGGAGAATGGAGGAGAAGGGATTGTGGTGTGGCCATTTCCCCTAGGGGCTGATTTCTCGCTTTCTGTCTGTCATTCTCTCTGTCTCTTCGGTGAGCGTACATGCCTATAGCAAAAATCTCTCTTAAAAAAATAAAAAAGTCCCCTTCTCAGTTCCACTTATGGCACGACTGTGTAAGAATCTCAGTGGATTTATTCCTCAGTAAAATTGGTGAAAATCAATTTTAACAAAGCCATTTAAAGCTCTTGGAAATAACCTTATGGACATATAGCAAATGAGGAAACATTTATTCAGGAAAATCTACTGAAACTTCATAAATGTATAAGAGCCTATATTATTGAACCAAGGCCCACACCCTTCTTTCCCGCTCTTCTGTTACTCAGTATGATAGAAACTCCACTCTAGGGACCAGCAGTTGGCGTAATGGCTATGTTGCTGAACTCTTATGTAGTCAACTGCAGTTTGAGTCCCGGACCCAGTGGCTTAAACTCACGCCGGGCACGTGTGCGTACATACCCAAGATCCCGAGAGAAGAATGGAGGAGAAGGGATTGTGGTGTGGCCATCCCCCCTGGGGGGTGATTTCTTGCTTTCTGTCTCTTCGTCTCTCTCTGTCTTTCTGACAAGTTCACGCACCCCGTAGCAAAAACTTCTCCAAAAAAAAAAGAAAAAGAAAGAAAGAAAGAAACTCCACTCTAGACTGGTATAGCCAAAAATACAAACTTTTGACTCCATTAAGTTCTCAGATAGGGAGCTGCATTCCTGGGAAGAGCAGGACATCATCTTTTCTCTATCTGTCCCATTAACCATTGCTGTGACAAGGTTCCTGGCAAATACAACCAAGAGGAAATGGTTTCATTTTTCTACACAGTTCCTGCACTCATTGGATGAAAACTCCACCTCGGGTGTGGTGCCATTTAGAACAGCAGCATCCCAATTGCTCTTGCCCTGGTTCACACCAGAGAGAGGCAAGTGAAGAGCACCACGTTGCTGAGCACTCAGTTCCTCAAGCCGGGTATAGCTGAGGGAGAAGTGCTGCTGTCCCTCCCTCAGCACCAGACCTCTGGGTTGGGTATTTTGTATTTTGTCTGGAAGGAGAAATGAGGCCTTAGAACAAAAAAGTTTACATCTCTCCTTCCCCAAACAGACTTTGCTTGCAACAATGTGTGAAGTTAAAACCTAAGGGTGTCCTCAAAAACAGAAGTTTTGGTAAAACGTAACTAGGAGGAGCTCAGTAGATCCATTGGAGATCCAGTCTAAACCGTAAACCCACCTCAGCTGCTCCTTGACTGACAGTGGGGTTATATCCCAATAAATTCTTGGTAAGTTAAAAATATTGTCTAAGTCAAAAATTCGTGTAATAAACCTAACCTACTGAACATCATAGCTTAAGCTAGCCAACCTGAAATGTGCTTAAAACACTTACATCAGCCTAAGTTTGGGCAAAATATTTAACATAAAGCCTATTTTATATCAACGTGTTGAAAGGTCTCGTGTAATTTATTGACTAGGCTACTTAAAACCAGACTGGTTGTACGGTACTCAAAGTACATTTCTACTAAGTGCATAGCACTTTCATATACCATGGTAGTGCAGAAAAATTATAAGTTGAACCTTTGTAAGTTGGAGACAATAGTCCCAATGGTGGAGTAGCTAGAGAAAAATGAGAAAAGGTCCATTGGAAAAGCC